ACCTGGATGAAATGGACAAATTTTTGGGAACACATGAACTACCAAAACTGATGTGAGAAGAAACACAAAATCTGATATCTATGATGAGTAAAGAGATTAAATCAGTACAGTCTGCCCTCTCTATCTGGGGGGCTCATAGCACCTGGGTCTTCGTCTACAGATGTGGTTAAAATGGTAAATTTTATGTTATGTGGATTTAACCTCAATAATAAAAATATTTACAAGCTCCTGGCTGACCCTCATTTTGATGGCTGGTTGACCGGGAGAAGTCAGGAAGGGAAGGAGATGGCTTCACCCTTGGGAGATGCCTCTAGTCTGAAACATGGCTCTTCAGAAGCAGTGGGGCCCCAGAGAGGTTACCTTTGGTGAGGAGGAGGAGGGTGCGGGTCTGGAGGGAAGTTAAATAAAAGAGACAACAACCAGTGTAAGGGGGCGTGTCACCTACAAAGGAACGGCAGCCGAATAGAGCAGGGCTCTCAGCAGCGGTTCTGGAACACACTGGATAACGGTGCTGAGAGAACCAGCTGTCAACTCCAAATTTTCTGCCACTGATATACTTGTGAAGACTAACATGTGAGCCCTTGGCACAAACAGACCTTGCTCAGAGGACCACTAAAATTTACACTCTGATGAGAGGACATTGAACCCAGAAGAACTGAGAGCTACTACAAAGGACGGCAAGCAGGGAAATCAGACAACTTGCAGGTGTCCACTGCTGAGCACGGACTGTCTATAGGGCAGGCCGTAGATTAACCTCAAATGTCCAGGCTTCCCCTTCCTTGGGCATCAAGCCCCTCATTCGTGCTGGGCACAAGGCCTCCCCACATGAAGACTGCAATTCTCAGCCTCCCCGGTAGCTGGGAGTGGTCAGCTGGACAAGAGTAGACTAGGAGAGCGCCCCTTCCAGAACAGCGCTGCCACCCTCCTCCTCCCAGGGCTGCCAAAATGGACCCAGGTGGTGCCACTTTGGACGTGAGTAGAAGCCACATGTTGCCCTTGCGCCGCCATCTGCAGGAACCCCCACCCAGCCAGCCATGGCCACTTCGCCTCGATCTCTGTTTCCACGGGGGAGAAGTAAAGCTGTTTACAGTGTGCCACTCTGGGCTTCTATCCCTGGAAGCAGATGTTAACCCAACTCCTCTAACAAGAGAGATGGGCTGGGAGTGGGTGGGGATGAGAGCACAACATTCTGTGTTCTTTCCACACTTGGGTAAACGGAAGAGGGACAGTTTCATCTTCGAAGAAGTAGGACTTTAAAATGTCAAGGGGAACCCCTAACATAATAGCAATAGGATGGGCAGCTCCCAAGCCATCAGAGGATGCAAGAAAATAAGAGATTCTTATGTTTGGAGGGCTGCTTGTTGGTACTTATCAAGTTCAAATGGCTTCTGCTTCTGGGAAGATTGAATAGAGACACACTTCTCTGTTCGTCCTGCTAAATACAACTAAGAACCCTAAACACTACATACAAAATAGAAGAAGAGTCTGAAAAGTGGAGAGAAGGCAGCTGGAGATCCCAGGGCTCAAGGAATGCCACGGTAGTGAGTTCTTTGGGTTTTCCTTTTGCCACTTACTGTTGAAAAGCTAGCAACCTGGAAACAAACAATGGTCACAGACACAAAGTCTGCTCTCCTGAGCCAAAGGATCACAAAAAGGGCAGCCTAGCAAGACAGAGAACTTTTAGACAGTAGTGACTCTTCTGTAACCCGACACCATGGAAAGCACTGTGGCACCAGCCCACCCAGGTCAGCAAAGGCTGAGTGGGGAGGCAGATGACTTCTACCCTCTCCAGGCTGTACTGGGACACCTAACCGCCCCCACCCCCGACACCTGTCCACACTGCTAAGGCAGTGTCAGAGAAGAACAAAGCTAAATAGTCAAAATAGATTAGAATCCAGGATCCAACTCTAGGCTGTCTATTACAAACCTACTTCAAATATGATGCAAGTGGGTAAAAATCAAAGTATAGAAAATAATATACTACACAAACACTAATCAAGAAAGCTGGAGTAGCTAAATTAGTATCAAACAAAGTAGGCTTCAGAGCAACAAAAATGACTAGGGACAAAGAGGAACGTTACATAATGATTAACATGCCAATTCACCAAGAAGACATAATAATCCTAAAGGTCTATGCACAGAACAACAGAGCTTTAAAGTACATGATGCAAAAAATTAATAAAGCTGAAGGAAAAAAATGGACAAAACCATGATTATAGTTGGAGATGTCAACATTCCTCTCTCAGTAACTGACAAGAAAAGATTGGCAAGAAATAAGAAAGGAAATCAGAAAATGAAAAATACCTTCAATCAACTTGACCCGATTGGTAGTTACAGGACATTTCACTCAACAACAGTTGAATATACATTTTTTTCTAAAATATCTATGAAATAGTCTCAATATAGATTATATTGTGGATCATTAAACCAAACCTTGAAACATTTAAAAACATTGAAATCATGCAAAGTATGTTCTCTGACTGTAACAGAATCAAATTAGTGATATCTAACACACATGTAAGAAAACCTCCAAATAAGAAATTAAACAACACAGTTCTAAAACCCCTATGAGTCAAAGAAGAAGTCTCAAGGGAATTTATAACATATTTTAGATGTCATGCAAATGAAAACATATAAAAATTTGTGGAGTGCAGCTAAAGCATGCCCTAGAGGGGGAGTCTTCATAGCATTATGTGCTTGTATTAGTACAGAAGAATGGTATTAGATAAATAATATAAGCTTCCTCCTTTAACTAGAAAAGGAAGAGTAAGATAAAAACAAAGCAAGCAGAAGGGAAGAAATAATAAAAGCAGAAATTAGTAAAATTGAAAACAAAACAGTAGAGAAGATCAATGAAACCAAGAGCTGGCTCTTTCAAGAAATCAATAAAATTAGTAACACTGTAGCCAGACTGACAAAACAGAGAGAAAGCACAATTTACCACTATCAGAAATGAAAGGGAAGATATCACTACAGACACCCACCTCCGCACTAAAGAGATAATAAGAGAATATCATGAACAGCCCTATGCACATAAATTCAGTGACTACGATGAAATGAACAAGTTCCCTGAAGAGCAGAGTTTCACCCAAACTCACTCAAGAAGAAACAGATAACATGAACAGTCTCATAGCTATTGAAGAAATAGAATTTTCAGTTTAAAATTTTATGAAGAAGAAAATAATCTAGGCCCAGATAGTTTCACTAGAGACTCTATTCAGATTTTTAAAAATGAAGTAACACCAATTCTACATCGTCTCTTCCAGAAATTAGAAGAGGAAGACATTCTAACTCAGGTTATGAGGTCAGCATTAATCTGATAGGATCCTGACAAAGACAATTCAAGAAAGGAAAACTATAGACATATATCCCTCGTGAACATATGTGCAAAAATCCTCAACACAATATTAGCAAATCAATTCCAGAGATACATAAAAAGAATAACACATCATCACCAAATGAGATTCATTCCAGGAATGCAAGGCTGGTTTAACACTTGAATATCAGTGAATGTAACTCAGCATATTGACAGACTAAAGAAGAAAAGTCACATCATCATATCATTTGACTCAGAAAAAGCATTTGACAAAAATTCAAGACCAATTCATGATAAAAACCTTGAAAACTAGGAATAGAATGAAAGTTCCTTAACCTTAAGGGCATCTACAAAAAAACCTATGGTCAATTTCATACTGAATGGTCAAAGATGATGCTCTCCCCCTAAGATCAGGAATAAAGCAAAGTAGTCCACTCTCAGTTTCCAACACGACACTGGAAATTTCTTACAATAAGGCAAAAGAAAAGGGGTGGGGGGCATCTTTTCAAAGAACAAGTTTTGGTTTCATTGATTTTTTTAAATTTGTTTTTGTATTCCTTATTTTATTGATTTCTGTTCTAGTCTTTGTATTGTTTTCTTCCTTCTGCTGGATTTTGGATTTAGTTCTTCTTTTTCTAGTTCCTTAAAGTGTAAAGGTAGATTGTTGATTTTAAGTCCTTTAAAAAAAATGTCTTTACAGCTTACATTTTCTTCTCAGCACTGCATTCACTGCATCCTTTAAGTTTGGCATGCTGTGTTTTTGTTTCCATTTGTCTCAAGATAGTTTCTAACTTCCCTTGTGATTTCTTCTTTGACCCATTTGTTGTTAAATAGAGTGCTATTTAAATTCCACGTACTTAAAATTTTTCCCCATTTTCCTTCTGCTGTCGGTTTCTGGTTTCATTCCATTGTGATGGGAAAAGACACTATGATTTCAATCTTTATGATCATTCAGAGCTTGTTTTGTGGCCTAACATGTGGTCTATGTTGGAGACTATTCCATAAGCACTTGAGAGGGTGTGTATTCTGCAGCTGTCGAGAGTTCTGTATGTGTCTCCGTTGGGTACAATTGGTTTATAGTTTATACAAAAGCACGATGTTTGGTTCATATATGTTTATAACTGTAATATCTTGGTGAATTGATCCTTTTATCAGTATGTAATGCCTTTCTTTGTATCTTTTAGCAGATTTTAAGTTAAAGTCTATTTTGTCTGATATTAGCATAGCCACCCCTGCTCTCTTTTCATTGCTACTTGCATGAACTATCTTTTCCATCCTTTCATTTTCAATCTATCTGTGTATTTAGATCTAAAGCAAATATCTTCCAACTGATTTTTGACAGAAGTGCAGGGGCAATTCAATAGAGAAAGGATAGTCTTTTCAACAAATGGTGTTGGGAGAACTGTACATTTATTGCATAAAAATATACCTATACCTCACACTTAATACAAAATTTAACTCAATCTGTATCACAGGTCTACATGTAAAATGTAACATTATAACTCTTCTAGAAGAAAATGTGGCCTGGACTAGGTAGAGTTGTTAGATATGAAATTGCAAACACAAGTCATAAAAGTAAAAAAATGTGGTAAATCGGACTTCATTTAAAAAGAAAAACATTTATTTTGTGAAAGATGCTGCTAAGAGAATGAAGACAAGTACAGACTGGGAGAAAATATTTGTTAATTACACATCCTACGGAGGAACGTATCCATCACACCAAAATAACTCTCCTTACTCAAAAATAAGAACATAAACAACCCAAATTTAAAAATAAGCAAAATATTTAAACAGACAGTTCACCAAAGAAGATATACAGGTGAAAAATAAATACATCATTAACCATGCAAACTAAAACCACAATGAGATACCCCACCGAGCTGGAGGCAGGGACTCAAACAGGTATTTGCACAATCATGTTTATAACAGCACAATTCACAACAGCCAGAAGACAGAAACAACCCAGGTGTCTGTCAGTAGATGAGTGGGCTGAAAACTGTGGTGCACACATGCAATGGAATATTACTCAGCCATGAAAAGGAACAGTGTACTGACACATGCTACAATGTGGGCAGACCTCAAAGACATTATGCTAGTACACCAGGCTCAAAACTACATGTGATGTCTTACATGATTCCAGTGATAAGAAGTACCTAGAATGGGCCAATCCAGAGAGACAGAAAGTGTAATAGAGATTACTGGGGGCTGGGCCGGGAGGGTGGGGTGGGAGTAGGGAGTTTTTTTTTAACAGATGCAGAGTCAATGATGAATGAGTTGATGAAAAAGTTCTGAAAATGGATAGTGCTGATGGTTGCACATGTTACTGAATGTGTTTAGACTGCATGTCTCCACTTAAATGTGCAGTTTTCTCAATAGTAAACACTGCAGCATCCTAGGATCCACAGACACAGAATCCTGGATACAGAGGAACCGCGTGTACGAGGGAACCAAGTACGTGGAGAACCAATTAAAAGTCATATGCAGATTTCTGACTGTGTGGATGGTTGGCACCCGTAACCCTCAGACCGTTCAAGGGTCAACTGTACACCTAAAAATGGTTGAAATGGTAAACTTTATGTTATGTATATTTTACAATAAAAATCTGTTGGCAAAAATCCCACAGGGAGACTTTACTACACATCTAATAGAATTGGGATAAAACCCTGAAACGCTGACCATACCAAGCTCTGGTGAGATGCAGAACCAGTGGAGATCCACACTGCCGGTGGGAGCGAAAAATGGTACAGGTACTCTGGGAACAGTTTTGGGGTTTCATAAAAGTTAAACACATACTTACCAAATGATCCAGCCATCCCACTCCCGTGTACTGACTCAAGAGAAACACACGTTCATCTTCACACTAAAACCTCTATCTGAATGCTTGCAGCAGCTCTATTCACGATCCCCCCAAAACGGGAAACAACCCAAATGTCCTTCAGTGAGTAAACAGTTAAACAAACAGCAGTCCATCTGTGCAATGGAACATTACTCGCTAACGAAAAAGAACAAACCACACAGCAGCAGCCTGGATGCCTCGTGGAGTGAAAGATGTCAGCCTCAAAGGTTAGTTATTTGCTGCCTAATTCCATTTCTGGAAGAGACAAAACTGTAAGGATGTGGCGCACATCGCCAGGGATCAGGGACAGGGGAGGATCCAACTGCAAAGTGGCAGGGGGAGGGAATTTGGAGGTTTGGAATTCGACAGTCCTGATTATGGTGGCAGTGACACAAATCTACTGTGTGTATAAAACTCACAGAACTGTAGAGCCCCCCCCATTTCAATTTTATTATATATTAATTTAAAAAGAAAAAAGGGTTTACCAACAACGGTGCCTTCTGAGTGCTCACTGGGCTCTAGCCCCGGACTGCGTTCCACATTATCGCACGAGAACCCTTAAAACACCAGACCGGTCAGACTGGCTGTTCCCATTTAACAGGTGAGGAAACTGAGGTGCAGGGAGGTGCCTGGGTGTGTCTTTCTCTGAAACTCACAATTATACCCACTGTGCCACTCAGAGCCTCATAAAAACCAGATTCCGTGTTCTGGTCATGATTTCTAGTGAGGAGAGCTACTCCAGGTGGAGACTGAGAGGATGCCCCCAGCCTCATCAGGGAGAAACCCGGACTCTGACACCAGACAGACCACCCAGTGGGAGGGGGACACGCATGGCCTGGGCTGGATGGATGGGTGAGCACCGCAGGGCGGCTGGAGCTGCCTGGCTGCTGTCCCAGGCAGGGGAGACAGCTGGTCATACTGCAGCTGCTTCAGAGCTCCCCGTGGCCACGGGCCCTGCCAACGGAACAGCCCGAAGCTGTGATACCCCCCCCACCAAGCATAGCTGAAGAGGGGGTCCTGGCCCCAAGTGACCTCCCCGCTTTGGGTTGGCCACTGGGAAGGGCCTCTGAGCTCCCAAGAGACCAAGGCCCTTAGACGGACAAGGCGGGCAGCGTCAGAGGGAGCAGAGGCTGGAAAAGCAGGGAGACAGCGGGCCTGGCTGAGGCCGCAGCCACAGGGAGAGGCAGCAGGGCTGGGCCCTCCCGAGGGAGGGGGACGTCAGGGCTGGGCCCATAGCAGGGGTCTCCAAGCGTGGCCAGGGCCCTGCGGGTGGCCAGTGAGAACTGCAGACCCCCTAGACACACTGAGGGCGCCTGTGATCCTGCTGCCCCCCAGTCAGCGAGGAGGCCCTGCGGCCTCAAAGAGGCTCCCGCTGCTGCCTGTGCACCCACCCACCCTGGACACAGGGCAGGGGCTCTGCCCTCAGAGGCTCGAGGGACACAGACAGCAGCGCTGGCCTCTCGAAGACTGACCATGCCGGTCCCCTTGCCTCGGACTCACTCAAGGCTGTGCCATGCCCGGCCCAGGGCCAGCTCTCCTCCCAGCTTTCCTAGCGGGGGCCGGGCTGAGTGCCTCAGACTCACGCTCTTTGCTCTCACGAGGGCCTGACAAGGCAGCTCCACCCCCATTTGCAGCGAGGGCAGCAGAGCCCACCGAGGCCACCCTGGGAGACCCAGCCAGTCCCAGGGTGCCTCGGTCTGCGCCCAGAGCCCTGCTCCCAGCCATGTTTCTGCTGCTGCCCCAGGCTTGGCTCTTTCATCCTCATGTCTTCTTGACCTTCTGCAAGCTTGGCGTGGGGTGCTGCAGGCTCGCTCCCTCCTGGCTGGAGCTGTTTCCCGGCCTTGGTCTCAGCCGCAGGGGGCTCCAAGCTGGGCCATGCTATCTCTGCACCCTAAGCCCGCCCTCCCTGCAGCTTGCTGGCTGGGCCCTACTCGCCTCTCCAGTCAGATCTCCCCTCTTCCTCCAGCCTCGCCCCTTGCTCCCCACACCCCTGGCCTCTGCTCTTCCGGTGTCTCTGGTCAAACAGCATCTGGGAAGGCCTCTTGGATGGTCCACCAATCCACTGGAAGCCTGTTCTAGAACCACTGGCCTGCGGGTCTGGCACCCCCTTAGTCGGGGAGGTCCTCAGGGCAGGGGACCCGGGTGGCCTGCTGCACATCCACAGCCCCTGGCAACACCGGGTACCTGGGCTGGTTCCAGGGACGCTGGTGGATGAGAAGGGCTGGGGATGGGGCTGGACGGGACGGAGAGATATTGGTAACAGCCTCGCTCAGCTGTGTGTCATTCTCCTGTGGTGGAAATGAACAGAACCCATTGCTACTTCCTTTACTCACAAAAGACGTCTGATTGGAAGAATCCCAGTGGTGTAAAAGGAAAGTGGATCCCTCCTGGGTCCCTCCCCTGGACGCCTGGGACAGGTTGCGAGTCCTCCAGTGCCTGTGCCTTGCAGAGTCTCACTTTCTCCCCACACACAGCTCTGTTCCACAGAACGCGCTGCCCCGTGTGTCCTCTTCCATCGCTTGCTTTTCCTTTTTCCCTGCCCTGGCCGTGGCACAGCCCCCCGTGGTACGACGTCCCCAACTGCCTCACTGCTTTGGAGGCTGCAGAACGTCCCAGTACGCGATGCGCCGTGGCTGACCCTCTCCTCCCCCAGGGCTGGACGTTCAAGTTGCCTCTGATGACTTCATCACTATAAATAAGCGAGGCGGCCAGGAGCATCCTCGGGCGTCCTGCAGCTTCTGCAGCTGTTTTGGAGGGAAGGGTTCCCGGAAGGGAACTGCCGCTGGGTCCGTGTGTCCTAAAGGCCACGGAGGCCCTTCTTTGGTTTGGGTTCCAGGGACCACTGTTTCTTTTATGTGAATGTTCTTCCCTTCCCTCGTAGGCCCTCCTGGTGGTCCCTGGCGGCTCCAGCACAGCTGGTGTCTGGGATTACATCCAGTCAGGGCACCCGCATCCCACTTCCTCTGCCCCAGACAGAGCCAGGCAGCCCCAGCTTGGAACCTGCTCCCACGTTCCAAAGCAGGCCCAGAGTGGGGAGCGCCTGTCCCATCTGCCTGGGGGCTGGAAGCTCTGGCCACGGGGCTGGGCGTGGCGGGGCAGCCCTCCCTGCCTCCAATTCCACGCCACCCCTGCCCCCCACCCCGCCCGAGGTCCAGCTCACACAGGAAGACAGCTGCAAGTAAGCCCAGGCTGCAGGCCAGCCTCAGAGAAGCTGCGTCCACTTCCCCGCCAATGCAAGGCCCTTAGCTGCTTGCAGGGGGTTTTAAAGACCCCAGAGGAGACAGCCGCCCAGGGGCAGAAGGAGGGGCCACTGAGGCTCCTTGGGGGAGCCAGGGGTGGAGGGAGCCTGCCTGCTGGCAGCGAGAGCTCCTGGGCACAGACTTCGGCCCCGGTGTTTCCCCTGTGTCAGCGTTTCTATTTTAGGCTGGCTGCTCCTGTTAGGGAATTCTCAGCGAGCTGTGGGAAACCCAGAAAGGCAGGCTCCAGGTCTGCCCAGCTTCTGTGCGCCCTTCCTGGGCCCTGTGGTCCCCTCTGGCACCTGGGCGAGGGGCGCACCCCAGGCTGGCACACTCGCTCGCCCCCATGAAAGTCCCCTCTTTCCCTGGGTTATGCGTCCCCATAGGGAATGTTCCCATCTCGTGACCCGGTCGGGCTCCAGGACTTTATCCCACAGAAACAATCGCAGACAGAAAACCCTGGAAATGACCCAAGCGCACACAGGGCCGTGGGAAGGGGACGGAGAGGGCAGCGTGGGGCCCCGTGGGAAAAGCTCGCGACAGGCCGTGAGCACGCAGGGCTGCTGGGACCACAGCCACGTGGAAACAGCGTCTGCCTGTGCCCCCGGGAAAGGGCCCCGCGTCTCTGGGGCAAGGCAGATTCTGGAGGCCAAGGGCAGGGTGGAGCCCCAGCCCCGCCTTTCGCTTTGGCCTTGCGACTCCCTGAACCTCTGTCTTCCCCAGCTGTGAAGATCTGAGGAACTTACAGCCGCGGCGGGTGGGTGGACGGGCTGGTAGGAGACTGTGCCTAGAGCCCTTAGGCCAGTGACAGGCATGCGGTGGGCTCCGGGGAAGGATGGCCGCAGTGCTTTGTGCAGCGCGGACACACAGGAACAGTTTGCCGTGAGGGGGAGACGCAGGTGGCCTGCTAGCAGCCAAATGCACGTTCCCGTAAACCTCTGCCGCCCAATCCAGACCCGGCCCCACCCCCACCCCACCCCCACCCTGGAAAAGCCTCTAAAGACTTTGAGAAAAAATGCCCTGGCTTTGTGGGGCTGATCTCCATCTCGCTTGCCACTGGAGCGCGTTCCTTCTCACTGGCTAACCACCGGGGTTCGCCCAGGCCGAGGCGGGGAGGCAGGCGGTCTGCAGACCGGAAGAGGTGGGGCCTGGCTTTGGAAGCGGGAGCTGCATTCCAAGGATTCCTCCGGGGCGACCGCCCGCCCTGCCTGGCTCCCGGTGCCCAGCTCCGCCTGGAGAGGGCCCCGGAGACCCCCGGCCTGGAGCCGGGCGGGGCCCGGGCAGCAGGACGTCGTCGCGGGGACCTGAAGGTCAGTCAGGACAGGCTTAGATCCAACGGGAGGTGGATGTGGACGTTCCAGGGCTC